CGCACAATCGACATATTTTAGATCATTTAGGAGACGGACTTCGACCTACCCTGCCTGTCAGGACTAGCCCGGGCTGAGAGTTTAGTTAAAGTAATAGTTCTACGGCACTTGCAACACAATAAGGTCATATAAGCGCCGAAGGTTACGTGTTACAAGAGAATAACAAGCACAAAACAGAAGGAGCAAACCACACCCGAGCACCCGCCAAACAGTGAAACACCCACAGCCCGGGATGAGAGGGAATGCAACGTTCCAACAAAAAGACGGAGATACTCGATAAGAAATAAGGATTTCCCCCACACGAGAATCGAACTTGCATGCAGCGATGAAGCAGCTAACCCTAACAGCGACACCACAGTTCGTTTTAGTAAGAGTTTTACGGCACTTTCAATACAATAAGGTCATTTAAGTGCCGAAGATTAGAGGTGTTACAAGAGAGTAACAAACACAAAAAAGAAGAACGGGAGATTTTAAGACGATAGATGTTTGATAGGAAAGAAGAAGCAAACCACACCAGTGCACCCGCCAACCACCCACACCGCTGTACATTAAGTCCAGTAACTTAAAAGAAGGACATCTCAGAGAGCCATTCTGTAGCCTGCCCAAACGAAGCATATAACACAGAGTCCTCAGCCTCAACACTGAGCAATCTGCATCTCTTTTTTAAAATCTTCACCCATCAGTCAAATGAAAACGTTTTCGAGTCTCCTGGTTTGCTGGCAATACCTTTCCCACACAAATAAAAGAAATGCATGTACCGTTTGTGAATTATTTGTATTGTTTGTTTGGGTAAAGTAAAGAAGAATACATTGACACGATGATGGTCATTTATTTAGCGCTAGGAAAAAGTAAGACAGACAGTGACAGAAACAACAGAGGGGAAAGTAAAGATGTTAGTACGACCTGGCAGTGGCGCCCTCTAATCCCCCGCACATATTTGAGTACACTGTTAGTTTCAGTAGAGGTTTTACGGCGCTCGCAACTGCATAAGGTCATGAGCGCCAGAATATTAGAGCTATTACAAGAGAGTAACAAACATAAAAACGAAGAACCACCCACATTTGTGAGCACGAGTATCCGCAAAAAGACAAGAATGAAGAAAACAACCAACTCTGGACACGTCAATAATCAACAGTAATATTTATATTTTTTATTATAATTGGTAATATCTGACCATTAAATAATATGTTCATACAGGTGTGATGATGAATGGCTGATCATGACCTTGGGTACACTAGAGGGGAACGGTAAAGGTTGGGGGGGGGGGGGGGGGGGGG